AGAATCTAAACAAGTGGGGTGACGGGTGGTGAAGAAGAAACCACAGGAGTGAATTCTATAATTGGTGGGGAAGAAGATTTTTCTGGGGTGAAATTTAATTGGGTTGTCGGTTCAACAAATAAATGTTGATTATTATCTCGCGCTTTGCTGGGCCTACTAGGCATTATAGGATTTGACACTGATATTGGGCTTGGCGTGTGAGGTGGCTGCCCAGTAGTAGTTGAACTGTGGATTTCGTCTGAATGTTGTGTTATTGCAATTGTGGGCTGTGATTTTGCTTGCTGAGTTTGAAGCATGGTGATGAATGCTTTCAACAAAATGGTTGGTCTGCAGTTGTGGTGTTTGCCCGATTGAAGAACTTGTACTTTTATTTTTCAAGGGAAAGTCCAATTCATCAAATACCACATGTCTAGAGATATAAACTCGACCATTCTTTAAATCCAAACATCTATAACCTTTGCGTGTATTATCATATCCAAGAAAAATACAGTGAGTTGATTTTGGCATAAGCTTGTGAGAGTTATATGGTTGAATATAAGGGAAACAAGAGCACCCAAAAACTTTAAGAAAACGATAATCGATATCACGTAAGAGAATCTTTTGGTAAGGAGAAAGATAATTAAGTTGGCGCATGGGTGATCTGTTGATGAGATACACAGTAGTGTTAAATGCTTCAAGCCAAAACTTAAATGGAGTGTTTGATTTTGTCATAAGACACAAACCCATTTAAACTATGTGTCTATGTTTTCGTTCTACAACACCGTTTTGCTGAGGTGTGTAGGGACAAGTGAGTTGATGTTTAATTCTCTAATTAGAAAGAAAAGCTTTAAATTGACGACTAATGAACTCACCACCACCATCAGTTTGTACAGTCTTAACAAAATGAACCGCACATATTTTTCGAGATAATTAATTTTCAATTTGAGTTTTGAAAGTGGCAAAAACATTAGCAACATCAGATTTGTGAAATAATGGAAAAAGCCACACATAACGAGAGAAATCATCAATTATAGATAGATAAAAATGATGAACATTCATAGACTGAACCGGGGCAGGGGCCCAAACATCAAGATGAAGCATGTCAAGAGGATGAAAGGCATTAAAATTCCTGGGAACAAATGCTAATTTAGAAGATTTTCCCATAGGGCATACATGACAACTATGTGTTTCTGAATGTTTGCCATTTATTGGTAATTTAAACTTGCTGAAAAGAACTTTAAAGATATTAAAAGAAGGATGTCTTAAGCGATCATGCCAAGTGTTGGGAGTTGACCGTTCGCCTAAGAGAGAAAATGGACTATGAGAAGTATTTGGATTGAATGATAGCTGATAAAGACCTCCAGAGCTATGACCAAAAAGAAGGATCTCCTGCGACCGAATGTCCTTAACACGAAAGCCACACCAGTCAAGTTCAAAAAAACAATTATTATCCTTAGAGAATTGACGAATGGATAATAGAGGTTTGTGCAACTTAGGAATAAACAAAACATTGTTCATCTTAAAAGACCGATTTTCATGAAGAAAAGAAGATTTACCAATGTAAGAGATAGGCAAGCTTGTACCATTACCAAAAATACTGAATTTTTACATGTATACGGTGAATACTCAGAGAAGTTGGAGGGATCTGGTGTCATGTGGTTCATAGAACTCGAGTCCAAAACATATGGTTCAGATTGTGAGAAGTATGCAACATTGTTACGTTGTGCACAAACTCTAGCATCATGTCCATATTGATAACACAATTGGCATTGAGCATCTTGATCAGGAAATTGAACCTCTTGTGCGACCACCACCACATCCACCTCTATTATTTCGATTATTTTGACTGTAACTGTTGTTCCACTGTTGACCGCCCCAATTACCTCTCCCCTGATTTCCAACTCTACCAAAATTAGAGTTACCACGACCACGACTCTCTCAATTTCCATTCCCGCTGTTATTGGGTCGAGATGATGATGATGATGATGATTGAGGTTGAAAATAAGAGGTTTTAGTTGCAGTTAGGGCTGTGGCCTGTTCAACTGGGACTGTAAATTTTTTCTGTAGCATTTCTTCCTTAAGAAGCAATTCTGTCAGGTCATCAAGATTGAGTGACTGCCGAACATGTGATGAGGATGTGGAGGTGAGAAATTCTTTGAACTCGGCACCAAGACCACCAAGAATTCGTTGAATAAGTTCGTAGTCTTCAAGAGGTTTTCTTGCAGCAATAAGGGAATCAGATATAGTTTTAGCTTGAAAAAGATAGTATGAAACATAAAGGTCTGTTGGTTTCTTGAGGTTGTGAAGGCGGTCTTGTAGGTTTTCAATTTGGATGGCCGATGTGGAGCCAAACCTCTTAGCCAGAACATTCCACGCTGCAGGAGCAGTGTCACAGGATTTCAGGTATGGTTGAATGGCAGGGGTAACAGTGCCTTTTATCCAGCAGCAGATCAGGTCTGTTGTATTCTTCCATGTATCATGATCTGGGTTTTCCTTGCCATCAGCTAGGGTTTTAGGGGGCGGGTTTGTGTTGATAACAAACAATAGTTTGTGGGCTCGTAGAAGGATTTTGAAGAGGGTACTCCAGTTTACATAGTTTTCTTTGGTTAGATGGGTGTGAGCCATGATGGCATTAGGGTTGTAGAAAATAGGAAGAGAATGAGAATTAGTCATTGGTGATGAACCATAATCGTTAGTCATGGTTGATTCAGATCCCATGATAAAGCTCTGATACCATAAAAGACTATACACAGAAGAAAGAAAAAGGACAAGAATGCTTGTGGAACAGATGAAAGGCAAAGTGAAGAAAACCCCAATTTTCTACACTTTAGATTATACAGACCACTTTATATACAGAAGTTCTACAAGGGTAAAAAAGGAAAAGCACACAAAAAAGGCAACTATACAGCCTTAATTACAGGACATAAAAGCTTGATTTGCAAGCCTGTCAAAAGTCCTAAAAACTATATACAACAAGATATTAAAGTTTTGAAAACAAGAATGCAAAACAAAATAACCAAAATAACTCTTTGATTAATCGGAAACTAACTCAAAACGGATGTTTTACAATCTGTTCTCATAATCATAAACTCGATTATAGACATGTATATATAGCCTAACATACCAACTTGTATTAGACTAGGAAACTTATGACCAACTTGCCATAAACTCAACTTTCCATAAATTAGATTGTTTGGTCTCCAAGTCCTCATCGACTTAGGTTTCCAACAATCACCCCCCGAATCCATATAAGTATATAATACATTCAATTCCAATTCCATACAAGTATGTACACACCTAAACACAAAATAAAAAATCATGCCCAATTTCATTTTCACGCCTAAACAAATGACGCAAAACATAATCTGCCCATTTTTGCCCAATTGTGCCCAAATATATACACATCTAAATACAAAATCAAACAAATCATGCCCAATTTCATTTTCATGCTTAAACAAGTAACGCAAAACAAAACTCTGCCCATTTTTGCCTAAGAGAGAGAGAGAGAGAGAGAGAGAGAGAGAGAGAGTGAGAGATCAGAATCTTACCTCAAAATGACTGGTGTAGCTACGTAGAGGCCGACGTTGGTGAAGGGTTGGCGATGGTGAAGGCTATGAAGGCTGCAACCAGAAATAATACCCCAAAATTGGAGGTGAAAGATGCAACCGGACAAAAAACCACAAAACCTGAGTAAAAACCTTGACCAATCACAAAATTAGGAAGAATAGAAGGACCAAGAAGCATACCTGCTAGTTGTCGGCGAAGGGGAGTGACCGGAGGAGGTTTGGTCGTCGACAGAAAGAGAGAAGGAGAGAAATCGGAAGTGAAATGACGCATTCGCTGGTCTTGATGGGGCTAAACTCTTTGTCAACGATAAGTCATCGGTACATGGTACCCAAGACTGTGTCGTTTTGTTTATTGCTGAAATAAAGAAACTTATTAAAAACAGGGAGCTGTACCGACGACAAGTCTTCGGGATAGCCATTTCACTCGGATTGCCAGTGTGGCATGGTGACGACGTGTCGTCGATATAGCTCTCCCAAAACGGTATCGTTTCTTCCTTATGCACCATGGAATAAAAATAAAGGTAAATTACATTTTTCATGACATATACCAATGACATGTAGTTGGTATATGTTTTCAAAAGGCTGCAAAAAACTTAACTTTGGAAATATCGCCGGCATGCAGTTCAAGGTCCTTGAATCTCTAAGTCCTTCTAGAGAATTCTTCAACCCCAATCCGTATTTAAAATACGGGCTCGTCGTTGTCGTCACATTCCAAAAAATCACCTTCTTTTCGAACCATCTCGATTCTCGACTTTTCCGGACACCCGACCTCCACCTCAGTCACGACCACCTTTACTGTCTTCCGTCACCCGCAAAACAAACCGAATAAAAGCTACCCGCTTTACGTCTTCCCGTTTGTTTATTCCGTGCCTAAGGTTAGTCTCTCTCTACCATAGAACAATCCCGATCAAGAGAAGTCGGGGTTGGTATTGAGATGATTCAACTCACGCTTAAAAACAATCCACACCCCCTTAAACCGATCCTGGTTCCCGCTGTGCCTGTCCCGCAGCAAAGGGCTACACTTTTCTTAAAACCGACTCTCAAACCGGCACCGTCTTAACCTCGCTCTGATACTAATTAAAGTTTTGAAAACAAGAATGCAAAACAAAATAACCAAAATAACTCTTTGATTAATCGGAAACTAACTCAAAACGGATGTTTTACAATCTGTTCTCATAATCATAAACTCGATTACAGACATGTATATATAGCCTAACATACCAACTTGTATTAGACAAAGAAACTTATGACCAACTTGCCATAAACTCAACTTTCCATAAATTAGATTGCTTGGTCTCCAAGTCCTCATCGACTTAGGATTCCAACAGATATTTGGTTACTAAAATTACGCTTACAAAGGGGTGGCAGATGTAGCGGAGACGTTGATGGTGAGTTTCTGACCAATTTGGCAATGAGTTCCAACTGTGCATATGTAATAGTGTGTGCCAGGTGCGTTCAAGGTGACTCTAGCGGGCCGGTGGTGGCGATGTAGATTGGGTTGGCGTTGGTGCGTGGGCCGTACGCCGCGTGCGGTACTTCAGCAAAGTTATGGAATCCGGTGATGAAGTTAAAGAGAAGAACATCGCCGACTCTGAAGGCCTGAGTTGATGCCCAGGTAGTGTAAGCAGAAGGTCCGTTGGGAGGAATATTCCAGCCCAAGGCGTTACCGACCACATGGGTAGTTTGAGCCGCCGTGCCATGAAACAGCACAGATGCAAGCATGAGCGCCATAATCACCACAAAATTAATATTTAAACCTTACATTTTTTTGGCCTTGAAGTTCTTGCAAAGAGAAATCTCAGATGAATATCTAGAAGGATTTTGAAGGCCAATGATGTTTTGATTTGTATTTATAGGGAATGGATGTAGGGATGCGTTGTATGTCACTAACAACCACGAAAAGGAAAGGCGCATCTGAAATCTTGAAGGAAAGACGTATTTGAAATCTAGAAGGATTTTGAAGGTTGACATTTAAAAAAAAAATGTATAAAAGAATTGAGACGATATTTGTCTATTTCAGAGGGTTAAAATGGGCCATGGCCCTCCCAATTTTTTGACAGTGTATACCCTATTTTATATATATGATGATCGTTTTTTTTTTTTTTTCATGTTATGGCTCCCTGGCCGCTACGTAAGTATATGTATTTATATATGTAATTTAAAAGATTATTTAGTTAAGCAGTAACTCCAAATAACAAGCAAATCAATTTTATTTGATAAATTCTGCAACTATGCAACCAATTAAATATCTAACAAAACCATAAGATTGCTAAAAAAAATCAATAACTTTTCAAATAAAATTAGGTAACTAAATTTTAGAAAACGAAATCTTTAGAAAGAGATAATAAACTAATCTAATATCCAATTTACAATCTCAATCTTTGAGAAAATACAAAACCTAAATTAGAAATCATCAATCTCTTTCTCTGCTCTAAAAGAACTTGCTCATTGGAAAACATAAAGCACCGTTTGCGTTCGCATTAGAAACTCTAGATGACTTATGTATCTTCGATCAACACTACCAGAAAATCGGATCAAATTCCTATGACACTATTCATTGGAATTTCGTAGGAATTGAGCGTTACCTACAAAATACCTACAGAAATTGGTTTGTAGGAAAAAACCTAGTGGGTATATTTTTTTTGATCTATTCGGTCGGTCGATATTCTACCTGAAAAAACCTCATGCCCGCTCACAACATGTGTACCCATCTGTTTAACAAATATTAGAAAATATACTAAACATACTTTAAAAAAAAACTAATAAACAATTTATAGCATCTTATTTTTGTTTTTTCAATTATAACATTGTACTTTAAAACCATATTATCAACTAAATAAAATGATAACTAATCTATTAAGCACCTTACAATACAAACAATATCAAGTATTCATTAAGCATTCACTTACACAACACATTAAGTAGTTATTAATTAAGCAGTTTATCACTTACATGTACTCAAACAAATAAACGTCGACATTTAACACAATCATACATGTATACAATACATCCAATTCCAATTCGATACAATTACGTAATACATCTAAATGAGACATACAATACATGTAATACATCCAATTCGAATTTCAATTTCATACATGTATATAGTACATCCAATTCTAATTCCAATTTTATAACTTTATGCAATTCCAATTCCAGTTCCAATTTCATACAAATATCACATCCAAACACAAAATCAAATGAGACATATAATTATGCAATACATATATGCAATTTCATACATGTATACGATACATCTACTCAAACGAGACATACAATCAAATGAGACATACAATTTTGCAATTTCATACATGTATATAATACATTCAATTCCAATTCCATACAAGTACGTACACACCTAAACACAAAATCAAAAAATCATGCCCAATTTCATTTTCACGCCTAAACAAATGACGCAAAACATAATCTGCCCATTTTTGCCCAATTGTGCCCAAATATATACACATCTAAATACAAAATCAAACAAATCATGCCCAATTTCATTTTCATGCTTAAACAAGTAACGCAAAACAAAACTCTGCCCATTTTTGCCTAAGAGAGAGAGAGAGAGATCAGAATCTTACCTCAAAATGACTGGTGTAGCTACGTAGAGGCCGACGTTGGTGAAGGGTTGGCGATGGTGAAGGCTATGAAGGCTGCAACCGGAAATAATACCCCAAAATCGGAGGTGAAAGATGCAACCGGACAAAAAACCACAAAACCTGAGTAAAAACCTTGACCAATCACAAAATTAGGAAGAATAGAAGGACCAAGAAGCATACCTGCTAGTTGTCGGCGAAGGGGAGTGACCGGAGGAGGTTTGGTCGTCGACAGAAAGAGAGAAGGAGAGAAATCGGAAGTGAAATGACGCAGTCGCTGGTCTTGATGGGGCTAAAGTCTTTGTCAACGATAAGTCATCGGTACAGGGTACCCAAGACTGTGTCGTTTTGTTTATTGCTGAAATAAAGAAACTTATTAAAAACAGGGAGCTGTACCGACGACAAGTCTTCGGGATAGCCATTTCACTCGGATTGCCAGCGTGGCATGGTGACGACGTGTCGTCGATATAGCTCTCCCAAAACGGTATCGTTTCTTCCTTTTGCACCATGGATTAAAAATAAAGGTAAATTACATTTTTCATGACATATACCAATGACATGTAGTTGGTATATGTTTTCAAAAGGCTGCAAAAACCTTAACTTTGGAAACATCGCCGATATGCAGTTCAAGGTCAAAGAAAGTTGGTCAACAACGACATGTCATCAGGACAACAACCATCTTCCAAAATGACCTCAATTGACCAAAAAGAGTAAACCTAACTTTGGAAATTTCGCTTCGCTTACGTCTTAACCTAAGCAAATATGCAAGTTTGACAACCATTAACGCGTAAATACAGTAAATCTCGAGCTTTTCAATTTCCAACTACGTATGTGTGGGAAATAGAAAGTCAGAGAAATGAAACGTGACTTTTCATTTTTGACGTGCGTACAGTTATTGCCAAGTTCTTTATCAACTCAAAGGCGTTCTTGCTCTTTGTTTTTTCCAATTACGGATTCTCACATCACCAGACAATGGTCAAAAAATCATTCTCTATTAGAGGGTGTAATAAAGGGGTCTGGGAGCAGGGCCGGTCCGTTGGTTTTTGTGACAATTGTCAAAACTCAGGTTAGGAATCATCTAGAACCTTACAATTTCCTTTTGTGCACTTGCCTTTTCTTTAGAGTTACAAGTTGAACTAGGTTCGCGACTTAATAGATCCTTCGGAACAATTAGTGTACCTTAGCTTGTATGGAACAATCACATTGACATGTGAATGAACCAACTATGTGGTAAAGTGCCAAAGTTCAACCTTAAGTCTAAACACAAAACTATGTTCGGTAGATCACAACTCAAGGGTATGCTATCAACCCAAAATTTCCATATTGGAACAATAAAATGCTTAACAAGGTTAAGTATTCTAAGCACATATGAACAAAATGAAATCATAATAATAACTAATTACAAATTTGAGACAATGTTCATGCAATTCATAATTTCATTTATGAATCAAAAGTATAATCAAGGATTGTCTAATCCTACGTTCTTATATTATGAACCCTTATTCCGTTTACATGAACTATATATTTGATTTTTTTAGAAAATTTAAATCACAAAATAATTTATTCCTACAATTATAAATTAAAATGAAAGTCTATGAATCTCTTTCAAAAAAAAAAAGTACTTGAATGAAAACCAAGAAATAAACTCTTGGAAGTTTATATAATATATTTAGAACTTTTATAAAAACAAAAGATAATTTTTATTAAATTTGAAATGGGGCCATATTTATAAAGTTCACCACTTTTTTAACAAGCCTTTAATCCCTTCTCTCCTCCCAAAATTCGTTCATAGGCTATTCCATTCCTTCTCTTTCTCTCTCTCTCTCTCTCACTCATTATTACTCATTTATGCATAATCAGGAGGTCAGATTTTGCATGTCAATGTGAGAGGGAAAAACCGACCTTAGAGGCATTTTCTGTGGGAGAGATTTTTCCAATTCATTTTTAAGATGTTAAACAACATTTCTGGAGTTTTGTGGCCGATTTTAATGAAGTATAGACCCAAAGAGATGACGAGAGAGATGTTCTATTCAGAGAGACAGAATCTCAATTTCTCTCTTCATTCTCTCTAGAAACCTCACTTTCTCTCTCTAAAAATCAGCCCATCAACCACGAATTTTCAGCCTTATTTTGGGTGTTCGTGAAGCTTCATATCAAAGGGTAAGTTCTTATCATACACCTCTTGAAGATCCATAACAAATTTTACAAGTTCTACTCACTTTGTCCTTCAAATTTTCGATTTCTAAGGCATATTCTTGCAAAGAACATTTGTTTGATCTTGATGTTTGTAGATAAACACCAAAAACATGTTGCATGTTCTGTAAATGGTGTTGATCCATGATCAAACCAAAGTCAAGAGCAAAGGTGAGCACATGCAAGCCTTATCTAGCACCAAAAACCGATTTTTCAAAAGTTTAGTCTCATCTAGCTTGGTTGCATGTAAGATCAAATGGTTAGAAACAAGTATTTCTAGAGAATATCTTTAATATAGTGTTTTTGTATCTCAATCTAAGCAAAAGAAAATGATATCATTAGGTAAAATAGAAGTTTGAACGATGTTTTCATGAGTTTTACTCTTAAACATTCTCTCAGATTTGTTTACTCAACTTTTAAAGGGAATAACTCACTCATTTCTTGACCAAATCACGATATTCTTTTTCTGAGGACTAGTTCCATGAGTTAAATTTCGAACCCAGTTGGCGTTACTGTAAAACATTAGAAATATGATTTTTGACGATTTTTACAAAACAGTTGCGCAAACAGCACTTTTTCTGTGATCACTAGTTTTGTACTACATGATTAAGACCCTTAAACTCCACAATAAATCTGGAGAAAATTATTTTAGAAACTATATACATCTTTATCAGAAGACCTAAAGTTTCATGAACAAAAACATTATATAAATTTGTACAAAAATTGTTGAACTTCCAGCTACATTTGGAACTCATGCACTAGTTAGTGCTACATTTCTAAACTTGTTGGGGTTGAATACCCCATTTTGCTCCAAAATAATTTTTAACCAAATTGTTTTATGTTAGCTCATGGTTTCAAGAGATGTTCTGTAAAACCCCAAGTGCTAGAACATAATCTTTATTTTTCTACAAAAATAAGGATTTAATGGCC